TGAATGTTATTAGTTTATTTTTTAATACTATTTTATGAACTTATCAAATTTAGTATTTGCCTTTAATTTATTACATTATAAGAATTATTTCACATTATTATGGTGATATTAGAGGATATATGGTAAATTACATTCTCTTAAGCAAGTATATGATTTTTTAAACAATATTGTTTTTTCAAATTATATAATTATCTATATAATTACTAAGAATGGTATAGTATATTACTTATTCCTTTAAATATTACTTCATAATTCTGATGGTTGCAATATGTTATATTCATTATATATGTCTTGGCTCTTTTTTATTATTCTGATTATTCTATTACTTATGCATGATACAAAAATGAACTATATCACATTAAAAATATTTATGCATTAAAAATGCAATTTCATTTTGATAAATTGTATATTTTGTTATAATTATTAGGATTAATTATTTTAAGTATATATATATAAATTACATTATAATTGACATTATACCATATAATTATACGAATGGATATCCCTATTGTTAAAATAGTTGTAATTATAATAGGAATAGTTGATCTAAATATAGAAAAGAAGGTAATAATTGCGATGTATCATATACACAGCTTATATTTTTCATTTTTGTATTCTATCAACCTCTAACCTTTTCTAGTGCATTACAAGATTCTTCACTATTGTAATGTTTACATTCATTCTTGTGTTACATATATAAAATAGAAAAATTCTTGGTACATTCACATTTCTACATATCGGCTAATTCATCAACACTAACCATATTTTCAAGTTTTGTATTTATACCATACATATCTTTAAGTTTTTTGAGTTCATATACTGTAATATTTTATATTCTTAACATGTATCGAATTTGTAAATTTTGTCTCAGTGATTTCGAGTGAATATTATGTAAGTCGGAGATATGTGAAAACTTATTATATTCCATAAAATATCATCTCCAGGATACATAATATTTATATATAGCGCTTTTTCATATGCAGAGTTTATATATAATTTATCGTTTTGTAAGTTTTTTTGAGTTGAAAAATTTTTAAATGGAATAATTTTTTGCCTAATATTGGTGTAAATGAAATAAAAATTGTACTTTAATTATATAATGTAGAGAAAAAAATTACCCCATATATATATTTAATACTGTTAGATAATAATGAGTGTATATCGTGATAAATTAATTTTAATCCAAGTCCTTACTAATCCTTATTAAATTCACAATAGTAAGAATTATAATAAAAATTATTTCCAAATATGCTATAATTATTAGATAGATAGGATTTTTTTAGCAAGGACGAAATGAGTGAGGAATTTATAATAAAAATTTTGTCTCTGTGAAAAAAACTTATATCACAAAATAAACAAATTTGAGAACAAATAACAATTCTTAATAAAAAATTCATGTAACTGTGAATCCATTTATTACAAATTTAACTCAGAAAATATCTATTAATTTTTTTAAAAATTTAAGAATGTGTAACATGAGTGCCATTTAAATGGAGAAAAATGTTATGAAATATTTTGATAAATTTGAATGACCCCTAAAATTTGATTCACCGTCTATATTGGAGTGTGCACATGAAACATACAAAATATTTTCTAGAAAAAGAAGTAATAAATATAGGACGCACCATAAAGATTTTGTTAGGCTTTAATCTGCATACAAGAAAAAATATTTTATAGATTAAAAGATGAATAATTAAATAATAAGTATTTAAAATTTAAATGTAATTTTTATTCCAAATTAACTGAAGCAAAAATACATGTATTATTATATTGTTGTAGAAGATGACTAAATGATATAGATCATTTTTTAAAATATTTATGAGAAATATATTAATTTGTGAAGTAGTAGTTTTATATTATTTATATAGTGTAAGAGGAAATGAAAAATTTTAAAATAATAATTTATGTTAACATATATTTTAGTATTGATGTGTGTGCATTTTTTTATATCTAAAGCATAATTTATTGTTGATGAAGTTAAAAATAATTATTAATGATAATGAGACTTGACAAAATTTAAGAATATTTTTACAATTTTATATATTAATCTTATTTAAAAATACATATTTAGTTTTCAGTTAACTGACATTTTTTAATAGTGTATTATTTATATTATTTACATGTATAAATTTTTAATTATATATTTTTTTGACGAAAAAGTTAATCAGAAAATAAATATATTACAATTTTTATAATCTCTATACTTATAAACATTATGAATAACAACGTGTATGTTTATTTTTTATTTTTTTTTTAAAAATCAATGAGAAAATAAAAAAGCAAAATTAAATTTTAAATAAGTTATATAAAACATAAAACGATAAAATATTCAATTTATTAATATTATAAAGAAGAGAATTAATACTGATTTGAAATATTTAATAGTTCTTCCTATTTTCGCAAATAAAAAAGTTATTACATATATACCAAAAAAAAAAAAAAGAAAAGAAAAGAATTAAATAAAACTATCTATGCACATTAGCTAATAATGAGACATATGATTTATGTTATAAAGAAATTTTTTATTTTTAGCTTCTCTTATCATGGATTATATCCTACATGATGTATGTCTTGGTTAGGATTTTTACGTTTAGTTTGACCATCTTTTGTTTTTTTTTGTTTTTTCTTAGGTTTTGATTTATTTTTTTCATCGTTAGTTTCTTCCATTTTAGGTACTATACCTGTAGATCCCTTTTTTTTTTTTTTTTTTCTTCTTGGTTCTTCTGCATGTTCATATATAAATGGTTGTCGATGATTATTTTGGTGCATTCCCTCCCCTAGAAACGTATGTTGTTGTATGTTTTCACCATATAACCGTCCTTGGTACAAATGTCCATGTGGTCGCTCAT